GTAGGATGATAGTCCCTGGTCCTGACTGGAACATTGGGATGTCGCCATAATATAGTGAATATTAATAATAAATGCAGCAGCAGCAGCCTCGTAAAACCCTGTGTTAGAGTAGAGCAGAAAATGAGGGTAAGGTGCTGCTGAGCCTTTTGCTGCAAATACCCTATGTACTTGTTTTCTGGGGGGAAAAAATATTTTCGGATTGCATCATTCAAAAGAAAAAGAAGAACAAAGTTACCTCCAATAACAGCTGAATCGCTTCTGATTGCATTGGTGAGGGGCTCCCGCTCATCCGACTTCCCAAAGGGATCTGCAGTTGATTAAATACAAAACAGCTCATTGTCTATAGGCAACGTGCCGAGTTTGCTTCAGCACTTGGAATGAAGTTACCTACCCTGGTCCGCCCTGAAAATATGTGGGGATTAGAGAATTTGAGCCAAGAAGAGCCCTCTTAAAAACAGGTAATCACAGGACAACACCCTTAGGCACCTTCAGAGACAAAGCCGTGCAAGCCGTGAATGCAAGAAGAAACGAACTGGGTAAAACCAACACCCTATAATCCTACCACAGTGCACCTGCTCACAATGGTAGGGAGACATTTGACCCAGGTAGTCTGCTGGGAGCCTCTGTCAGACTCAACAATATTACAATGCCAAAGAGACAAGACTAAGACGCATCTGGAAAGGGAGGAGGCTAATATAGGATATATGGGTCAGGTTCAATCTGAGGGAGAGAAACAGTGTCTGGGAGGCGGGGGGAGGGCTCTGTTGGAAGGGATCTCCCTCTTCAACGCAGAACAATGGGGATACCACATGTTCCAAGGGCAGAAGCTGTCAGTGGGGTGCATTTAAATTGGACATGTTCTGATCTTCCCCCTTCAGATGCTACAGGTCCTTCTGGTTTGTTTTACCACATCCATTCCCGTCCTTAATTTGCACCCATGTCCCCTCTGTGGCTGCTTTCAACCTTGAGAAGGAAGACTTCCTGATTTTGGCACGTAGGGTCTGCCAAATGATTTCTGCTGCACTGCACAGCGAGCATTGCTCTTCATTGAGGAGACTGGAGCGTCTAGAGGGTACTAAAGAGATCAGGGTTGCAAACGCCTGTATCCAAACACCCTCTAAGTGTGGAGGTTCCCAGAGCCAGCTTTTCCATATCTCAGCCAAACCAAAATGGGACTCAAACACCTGCAACTTTGGGAGCTTCAGATCCAGATGATGGGTCAAACCCTCACTGATAGCCAATGGAACGATGATAAATTACACCAGCTGTCCCCGCATTTCCCAGATCTAGCTCTAGCGCTGCGTCTGAACCATCCAGCCTGTCTGTATCCTCATACGAGGGCTTTCATCTCAGCTCACCCTTTCCTCTCTTTGGTGTCTGTCTGCAGGAGTGCAGAGCTGCTGTTCTCCCCTTTTACAAGCCTCCAGGTCATCACACATGGGCCTGTACTTGGGAGCTAGTTCTGACGGTCTCGGGGATAGATTGTATGGCATTGCCAGGCTGCTCCTTTCAAAGGCGAGATGCGGAGGCCTTAGAAAGAGATGCAAAATGCTGCAATGTCTCATTGTTATGGAGCAGTCTTGCTTTAGTTGCTGACTTGGCAGACTCTTAGCACTTCGTTAAGTGGGATTTTTTCCTTCAGACAAACGAGCATATTTGTGCGTTGGACGGGGCTAAATTTTCATCTTTACCCAGCTTTGCTTTGCACTCTTTCCAAACAGCCTGATTCTCCTTTGCCCGGCATTTACACTAGTGCAAAGCGAGTGCTAAAGGATACCATCTACACCCACTTTCACCGATTTAAATGGCTTCATGAACCATAGACCACAGAGAATCTGGCCCAAGCCATTCTGAGGTTTAAGAAGTAGTTCTCTTGCCAGTTTTAAAGATGAAAGCCTTTCCCTTCCTGTAAACAGATGCCTACAAACTAACAGTAAACAGAGGAGGGTTTGCACTTCTGCCGATCGCTGATGTTCAGAGCAGATGCAGTCACAGAAGAGATTTTGAAATCAACGGGACTGCTGACATAAATAAATGCTCACCAGCCAGGATTGCATAATGAGTCACCCATTTGGAATATGGCTCCCCAAGTGGGACCCATTGCAGCTCTTTTGCAAGTTCTCTTTTCCCACTGCATGGAGATTGGGCCCCTGGAGACAAGCAGACCTTGTGAAACGCCAACTCATTTTAGACCAGAAAAGCTTGGTTTATACACGAGTTGACTATATAGCTAATTTTGCGTACCATGAGGCAGATCCTTAGCTGGTATAAATTGTCATAACTCCCTATGGCTTGGACAGAGAATTCTGACTGGCGTCACAAGTCACCTTCTGAGATTGCATAAAATGAATAAGGGGTAGGCGAGACTTTTGATCCACATGTCCATTGTGTAAAATGTTGGCCATACATGCTATTAAAGAGTCTTTTAGTCTTTGACCAAAAATTACTTGAAGCTAAAGGACTTTTAAAAAATCCAAAACAAGTGTTGGGGATTTAAAGGTAACTTTGAGTTTCTTTCTGTGGTTTAATCAGAATGCAGGTCGACAGACCTTAAAGGTTCTGAGAATTATGTTTCACCCAAGAACTAAAGTCAGGATACAAGACAACGAGGTGTTTGTTGCAGAGAAGCAGATGGCAAGTGACAGCAGAAGCTTCCCCTGTGGGATCATGGTAAATTCTGCAGCCAAGGAGGAAAAAAAGCACTGTGTCTCATATGAGATTTTAATAGGACATTCTTTCCCTTTTAGATATGACCCTTGAGATAACGCATGAAGAAAACTGGCACCAAAGGGCACCTCAGTGAAATGGGGACATGAAATGTCTCACGACTTCCACAAGCAAAAATTTTTTGTACAGTATCTGACTTATGAAAGTATTTGGGATATATAATTTAAATACACAAGGTCCAGATCCTCCACTTGCATAAACTAGCAGGTGAGGATCTAGCCCTCAAAATATAGTAATGACCACTAATACATATTTTCAGAAAGAAAACCATTTTAATAGACTGTGATATTTGCCGTATTTTAATAGACTGTAAACATCCTGGTAGAGTAAAACATCAGGGTGCCATCAATGTGGAGTTGGAGTGGCAACTAGTATATGTGCAACCACGTACGAGACACTGCTTTATGGAACATTACAAAATATCATCACCACAGGAAGTCAGTTTTCCCCTCAGATGTTCCAATCAGAAATTTTGTGCATGGATAAATCAACCCTGGCTGAGTGGATTTTGTTCAAAAGTAGTTTGCTAAGAAACTTTCCTGAAGATCTAACAAACATTCCAAGTTTGAAGAAAAGTGCTTTAATAGTTCTCAAGTTATGAGCACTGAAAGCTTTTTCACACATTCACAGCAGGCATCTTTACTCTATCAATTACTTAGAAAATTGGCGCACACAAGTATAGCAGTCTTTGAAGGTTTGTTGTTGTTGTTCTCAGACATGCAGAGATGAGAAATCAAGAACTAATAAACTGAGAAATGCACAGTAAAGCTGAAGATTAATCCTTAACTCTGGCCTCCTGTGATTACTCCTTAAAAATGTCTCTCTCTATATATATCAAAATAAATTATATGTAAATTAATATAAAGTATAATGAAATACAAAATGGAATTTCTTATATAACCATTACTCACAGTATAGAACATACAGTTTTCAAAATTGGCTTGATTTAAGTCTCAATGAGATCTATAAAACAAGTCCACTTTGAATGTTGAGGTTATATTAGGTATCAGTTATCATAATAAAAGGGTGACCATATTTTAAAGCAGAAATATGCAGAGATAACACTGAGCTTTCACCACAACTCTGCATTAGCTGATATCTGAGTGCTTATTTAACCTTAACACTGCCTTACATCTAGTTAATTTCAAGATTTAAATATGAAAGTCTAAATCCTGCCCCATTATATCTGAAATCAGAGTTTCAACGCACTCTTTGAGACTTAAGCTTTATCTTAAAATGTCCCCTTCTTGACTTTATAGGTTGGCCTGGGATAAGTGAGAGCAAAATTTGACCCACAGAGTGATGGACAGGGTTTGTGTGTAAACACATGTGAAAATGCATGCGTGTCTGCACACATACACAGCAATCCTAAACCATTCACCATTAACAAGCCATGTTTCTTCAGTTAAAAAACAAAGCACACATCAACTGGAAACCATTCCCAACACAGAAAGCAAGCCTAATTATTTCTCCCTATGCAAAACGCTAATAGCATCATTTGTTTTCTGCTGAAAACCATGGGTAGAAGCTGAAGGAAAGGGGGATCTGCTGCAAGTCCAAATGTCAAGGAAATAAATGGCATTAGGATATAAAACATAGGAAGCTTTATGAGTTATCCAGCAGAGAAGATAAAGTGAATTCATAGTTCAAAGGATTAAAAAACAAAAGAAAAAAAACCCCTTTCATTTTTTACTCCTTTCTGGTTATTAAGGTCTCTGCCACATCCACTAGTGACTAAAACAGCGACTTGTGTGTCCCTTCCTGTGGTGACAGTACTACCAGCTGCTCTCTGGGTTCTTTTTTCCCCTGGCATACTAATTCACATATGCAAACCACTTAAGAGTCCCAGAGGGCAATTTCATGATTGCAGAGGAAAAATGAACTGCTTAGGATCATCAGCTAGGAACATTCAAGTTATGTGCCTTCATTTAAAACAAAGTGAATGATACACATATTCAGTAAAAGACACACAGAGTAACACTCATGCATTGACAGAACATGGAACAATGGTCTCAAGTTGCAGTGGGGGAGGTCCAGGTTGGATATTAGGAAACACTATTTCACTAGGAAGGTGGTGAAGCATTGGAATGGGTGATCTAGGGAGGTGGTGGAATCTCCATCCTTAGATGTTTTTAAGGCCTGGCTTGACAAAGCCTTGGCTGGGATGATTTATTTGGTGGTGGTCCTGCTTTGAGCAGGGGGTTGGACTAGATGACCTCCTGAGGTCTCTTTCAACCCTAATCTTCTATGATTTACACTAGCTAGAATAAAAGCTAGTTATATAAAGCACAGTTAGTATATGGCATGATTCCCTGGACTTCAGGGCATATGCTGGTCAGGATCTGGGGTCAGGAACAGTTGTATTATATGCAACACCATACCAGGTTTTTGTTTTCCTTTGAAATCTCCTGCACTGGAGCCATGATACCAGACTTCACGGACTACCTGCAATGGCAATTGAAGTCCCATGTTCCTGAGACAGTGTTTGGACTATCCTTTGCAACTCAGGCTTTACTCTCCTATAATGTCACATTCCTGTGGGCATTTTTCAGGCAATATAGGATCTTAATCAGTTGTTTAGGATCATTTATTATCAGGATATAGCCTTTTAGTGGGTGCGAACCTGAATAGGCTTTATCTGTACATCCTGATCACTTATGTGTTGATAGCTTCCAAGCCATCTTGCTTCTAGTATCACACTTACCATGACAGCAGGAAGGGAGGGAGCAAATCCCACGCTGAGCTCTAAAAGGCTGGTTTAATGGAAGTCTTAGTTTCTTGACAGAACATACCTGATGAGGAATATACTGTGGTGATGGTGTTCACATCAGCCTCTGCTATGTATCCACAACTCGATTCAGTCAAGGAGCCTTTGACAGTCACGGGGGCTATGCTGGGATGTCGTAAGGCGGCCTTCAATGGAGCTATGTGATTGTACTGGACAGAGGACAGGCATCCCGTAAAGCCATGCGAGTTCGCCTTCAAGACCTCAGAATCTAGCCCCAGACTATCTGCAACACACAACACAATCAAAAAGGTGTTTTAAATGTATCCTCTTGCGTGTTGATTAAAAAACCCTTTGCCAGCTTACCTGACTTTATTCACCAGCTTCTCACCCAATTACATCCTTCTTCCACTGGACCCGTAGGTCTGAGACGATATCCACATTTAAATCCCTCTTAAAGATGCACATCTACCATGCTAATTATAGTGAATGGAGTTGGCTTGTAAATAAATAGCCTCTGTTGTTCTCCTTCCCCTAACCAGGTTCCTGTTGTTTGTCTGGAAATAACCAACACATATTTGGTGCTACCATAAACTATCATAAATCATAGAATGTAAGGCCTTAAGGGACTACCGGGCCACCTAGTCTGATCTCCTGCAGGCCACCAACATGCTAAATGCAACAACTGAAGTTAGACCATGGTATTACAGTCCACAGGAGACTAAACTATTATGTGCCACAGGCAGAGAATAGGAGGGACCGAGATGCACCAATGCCCGAGGTCCCTTCAATGTCAGGAAATGAATTAAGTGAGATATACCCAGATGAGCCTGGCAAGTGACCAGCACCCACAAAAAAATCCCATCATCACTGCCAATCTGACCTGGGTGAAAATTCCTCTCTGATCCCACCTCTGACAATCAATCGGTTAAATAGTAACCCTGATTATCTTCAGGCCTGAGGTAAGATTCATTTTTCAACATGTTCAGTTTCACAGAATCTG